AAGCAGAGTTGCTTGAAACTTCAAGCAACCTGCTTGAAACTTTCCAGCAAGTGGAGCGAAACCGGGTTGCTTGAAATGTTTCAAGCAGCGCGCTTGAAATTCATGCAGAATAGTTTGCTGTGCCGTTCGGCAGGGGTCGGGCCTGCTTGGCCTGCCGGCGGCGATGGTCGGGCCTGCGGCCTTCTGCGGCCTTCTGTCACGCGATTTGCTGAGGAACGTAATCAAATGATGTCACGGGCCTTCGGCCCGCTAAAACTGACTTTTTTGACCTACCTCATTGTCTTTCATACCCCCTTTCAGGCCCTCAGGGGTGGTTGCCAGGATTTGCCGGATGCGTTTCGTCTTCTAGGAGTGAACCTTAACATAACCTGAAAACTTGAAGTCTCTTGTACATCTCCTACTAGTGGAACAGACAGACACACAGACAGACAGACACGATGTCGTTTGCATAAGCCCGCTGGATAGCTTTTACAAAGCAGAAGGGCGGGCTAAAAAGCGGTAGTCTGACCAAATTCCAGTATCACGAATTCCGTGGCCATATCACTATAAACATAAACAAACTTCGCCCCACTATGTCTATGTCTAATTCGGACGCCTGGCCATAAAGAGCAACTGCCTTCAAAACTTTAAAAGTTTCCCGTGACATTTGAACAGGTAAAAAACCTCCAGAAACCGTCAATTCAAGTCGAACTGGTAACAGCTGACATTACCCGATTTTTACGAAAACTACCTAGAAGTATAGCTGAAAAAGCGTGCAGTATTCTGCGCCGAAAACTCAGTTAACTCGGCCTAAAAACCGGGAACGCTGTAGCTTCCGGGGCGACTATACTAAGAAGATCCATAAAGTTTGTATTCCAGCAACACTTTGCAATCCCTGCTAAGGTTCTTGTATCCAATTCGTTCTGGCAGCTCACAGAAGGCCTTATGGAAGCGAGGAGGTATGATAAACCTGCAAGAAATAAAAATCCAGTACAAAAAATAAAAATATAGTATTAATACTTTATGACTAATTTTGACACTTATTTTTATTGTACACTGCGAATGTCTTTTCTACAACCGCGACATAACGGTTCACTGCCTGGAAGCCGCAGTTCTCCTAATGTGGGCAAAACAGTGTTCCTGGAGAGAATATTACATTAGCTCTCTAGACCTGGCACGAACAATTAAATAACTCATGAAAACTCTACTTGCCTTCGCTGCCCGCCCAAGTAAACAGTTGGAACAATTAAGACATTCCTTCTTTTACACTTAATTGATAGCACTGCGCATATCCCTCGCTTAGCTTAATTAAGTTGTTACAAGATACTCAGGAAGAATGTTGGCTCCACAGAACCAGCGTTTCTCAGTCGTAAGCAGCTTTTAAAATTGGTGCAGCACAGCATCAATCCTCCGTGTTAATTCGCTGCAACTCGGAAATAAAAACAACTCAATTATCGTAGCATTGTCCCTTTCCATAGCGATTAAATAACTAAAAGGACACGTGGATACATACACTTCCGTTAGAGAGCTGTCTGAGATAAAGTTATGCTTCAAAACCTCAGCATCATTTTTGTTTTACCTTGGCCCTAAATGCATGGTAATTTTCCGTACAGCCAACAGCTTTGATGAAAACGCTTTGCAGGCCATTAACTTGTTCTCTTTAGAAATATAGGATCACGACACATCTTTAACAAGAGGCGATTTGCAACGGACCGATTACACACAAGTCGATCTGCAGCGCGCTGACCGAATACACCAAAGCCTATCTGCAAAACGCGGGTTTTGGGATAACTTTGAAGAAGTGATAAGTACTTCGTATCCGATCGTTCTACGAAACTTTTTGCAGTCAATGATTATACATGGAGCCTATACGTTTCTATCCGCGTGCGTTTGGTTTCACCTCGGATTTTACGGTGTTACGGTTTTTACGGCATCTATATCCCTTAGCACCTTGGCTGCTGTGTAAGTTGCTCCTTCAAGCGGCTGAGACAAAAACTCAACAAACCCACAAATGTTAGAGATGACCACCTGCAAAATATATATTATCCCGTTTTTTAAAAGTCAGTCCATTTGTGTACAGGGTACCCTTACCAGAAAGCATTTGATAAAATAAATCACCCGGCCGCATGCATTGGTCCAGGCTTACTTGATAGTTCAAGAATTCGCACACCACAAGGTGCGCCCAACTCACGAGAACACATTTGCATTACAAGAACTTGACACGCAAGATGAATACAAATACTTAACGATCTTCACCAGCCGTTCAAAACAAATTGCGATGATAAAAAGCGAGGGCGAGATGGAACAGCAATTTCGGCTGACCTGCGAGTCTCGGATGAGCGAGGCGAGAGGCATTATTTATCAATATAGTGGAGCAGCTGGTGTTCCCGTATTAGGAAAAGGGTTCGAAATTGATTTGCGATCAATCCGCGCGCTAGGTTTCTTCTGAAATCTAATTCGGTTCTGAAGCGGCTAGGTCCTAGTCACGGTCCGCAATATAAGATTGTCCGACAGAATGCACTTACAAGCTGCGCAGGCACAACTCGGATGGTTCTCATAGCTTGCGCGGCAAAACCCAATTAATGGTTAATCATCTCATACTTTCAAGGAATTTAATTTCCAGGTTTAACGGACACTTCACTCCCTCCAAAGCGCAGGAAACGCCTGCAATGCAAAACCCTGCAGCGGTGCACTCTCAAGTTCGAACCGTTGGTCTGAAAACGTCGAGTAAAACTGTTTTCGAGTCGTAAAGGACCTGACTATGGCGCAAACCACTGGATCCCCCAACAAAATAGTCGTAATCGTTCAGTTTTTATTTTCTGGCACGATAGTTTGTTACAGTTATCCGATTCCTTGGTTTTCGCCATGGCAAAATTGTTATATCCGATGGGTCAGTTTCAATGACAGTGTGCGTCTTAGCGGCTCAGTCCTCACAATAAATAAAGATACTCACAGGACGCTACACCAGATTTTATTCTACAGCCAAATATAGAGACGTTTAGCTTCCGAACTTGAGGAGAACTTGAAGGTAGCTGAACCAGGATTTTAAGATGTTCACGCACGTGGGCCTGTAGGAATAAAATGTTGAGAAAGAGCATGCAATACGAAGGTGGAGAGAAAATCTGGGATCCCAAAAGTTGTCCTGGAAAAACGTTCTTCGAGTTATCCTAAAACGAGAGGCTTGGCCGAAGTGGGCCCTGGGCCCATCGCCAACCCATGTCAGTTAGGTCTACAGGCCCATAACGGTACTTTAAGACATCCAGGGGCCACCCTAGGAATTTCCCAAGAGGCGGCTGTCTACCAAAAGTTGGTGAATGTATTTAGGAAAGCACCCCTAGAGGCGTGGAGCTGTGAGTCATCGTCTTCAGCTTAGCCTTTCGACATTTATGCCCCAAAAGGGCTGTGCTTGGCCAAAATTTGCATTTTCCTGCTATATTTCCGTAGTTGTACACCTCTAAGTGTTCAACTCGGTAGGTGCGCACTTGCAAGTGGGCAACTCCACGGTTGAACACTTCCTTGGCTTGAACGCTCACTGTATAGGAAGTGCTCAACCGAGGAGTTGCACTTGTGCGCACCTACCGAGTTCAACACTTGCAAGTATTCAACTTGCAGTTCCACAGTTGCAAGTATTTAACTTGCAGTTGCACACTTCCAAGTATTGAGCAGTTGAACACTTAGGTTATCTGTGTTGCCTTGGCCGCCAATCGCAGGTGAGTGCTGCGGTCGCTATGGCTCTGCCCGGCGTGGCTCTAGCACGAGGGGCAATGTGCGTGGAGCGGCGCGCTTCCCGCGGCTCTATAGTGAGTCCAGCCAAAGACCGTACTTCTTGCGACCGTTACGAACTCGCCTTCCCTCCGCCGGGTGGCTTGCTCGGGCCACCGAAGCGCTCCCGAGCCCGCTCGGTGGCCGTCCCCCCTCCACCTCGTCCGGTCGCTCAGATCGCGCTCGGCTCTCGGCTCGGAGTGGTCTGCTCGCGATACACGGCCAACCTCTAAAATAAACAAAAGATACTCAAAACGCTCAAAGACAAGTTCATATTCGATGACAATGTGCATGGTGTATTTTAAAATTAACCAAACAACAGCAGGACGTCTTAAATGGGATGTCTATAGTTTCATGTGACTTCAATGTAATATTGTTACTATTGTCATTTGACTGAGATTTTTTTAATGACAACCCTGTCTGTTTGTTGTGGTCCGAGTCCGATAATGTTTTGATGTTTTTCCAGTGCAGTCATTTTCGTCTTTTCGTCATTGCCTCCTGTTTTGTCCCTGTTCAATTTTCTGTAACGTAATGCCGAGGTTCGTAAAGAAGGTCAAGGCGACCCCCAAGAAGAAACGGCGTTTGAAAAGCTTCAGCCGGTCTATTGACCGAGGTATGAAGGGTCGGCTCCCGAACCGGCAAACACAACTTCTTATAGCAAGGACTTGGAGGTATGTTCTTAGGGAGGGGCTTCATAGTGGCCCTCTGCTTCCAGTCCAGCAAGTGAGGTTTGTAAGATGATCAATTTAAGCATGAGCCCATGTTTTAATAATTTAGTATGCTGTCACACTGAATTTGTTTGTATTAATGTCTTTGTAGGCGTCGTGTTTGTGAATGCCTAGGCATTGGTTCAGTGATGGCTTCGAAGTACAATGCTAAAGGAGATGATCCCTTCCCTCTTACTCCTGGAAAGGATCGTCAGAGAGTCAGACCAATGCGAGAGATTGACGACTTCACCAAGAAGGCTATCAGAAACATTATTGTGCGGCTCCACAGAAATGGTGAGTACTAGTAGCAAGGGGTCCACCACTCCTAAAAAATTCGTACAGTGATTACAATCAAAACCCATTGCAAATGATTGTGAGGATTACAAAATGATTGAAATATTGTAAAATGGTCGAAAAATTGCAAAAAGATTGAATGATTGTGAAGTGATTGAAAGAGATTTAAATTGATTGGAATTGATTCAAAATGGTTGGAATTGATTCATTCTAATTTAAATTAATTCAAAATGATTGGAATTGAGTTAAAAATGATTTAAAACGACTAAGAGCTCAGCCCGTGTAACGCATTATTTAGGATATATGTATGATTTAAGATGGTTGAAAGTGATGATTGAAAGTGATGGTTGATAGGAATGTCAATTTTTTTAATTTGATTTCAATGACTGTAAATTTTTTTAAATTGATTCAAAATGATTGTAAATGATTCATAGTGATTTAAAGTGATTGGAAAATCATTCAAAGTGATTCAAAATGATTCAAAATGATTGTAAAGATTGCAAAAATTGTAATGATTGAGAGGGATTGTAAATGATTCAAAATGATTGGAAATGTGATTCTTTTTGAAAGTGTACAGCGATTCTTCGAAGTAGTGTGCTCCAACATCGATGATAGCAACCTACTACAATTATACCCTTCTTTTGCTTCAGGAACTCACTGCACCCTTAGAACTCGACTGCACGATTCGGTAAAAATATTCCAGTGGAGTTTATGTAATTATATTGATTGCTGTTAGTATAATGTGGTGTTTCTAATTTCAGTTTGTAGTGAGCAAGATATTGACTTCCATGGTGGAAAGGAGACACTGAGGAAAGAACTACATGATATTGGTTTGTGAAGCGAGGTGGTACAGTGTACTTTACAAAATGCCACGCATTGCAGGGCTGAGGAATACTTTTTTGAAGTTGTTCAAGAAGTATGTTGATGACGATTGGTTTCATAGGAAGTACTTACATGAGACATGGATTTAGTGAACATGGCTGTGGTGTCTGATTTATGTGGAGAGATCGTAAGTGGGATTGCCAGGGCTCAAAAAAAATGCAGGGTGGTGCCAGGTATATTGTTGCCCATTTTGGTGGGGAGGAAGGTTTTGTGGAAGATTCCCTTCTAGTGTACCCACTCCAAAGCAAAGCCCAAGCCAGGTGACGATTATCATGGGGACATGAATGGCAAAATTTTCTCCAAGTTCATGGCAAAGAAGGTGTTACCCCATACTGAAGAGCCATCAGTGTACCTTATGGACAATGCCTCGTACCACAAGTTTCAGGTATCTGTGTACTATACAAATTCCTCTCATAATGTGGGTATGCATAAATTGGACTTTAATACTTTAATTTGCAGATCTATTTCTGAGTCGGGTACCCAAACAGCAATGTGAACTGGCCTCATTATTAGAAAGTTCCTTGCTGTATCGGGTACTAGCTCTTTTCAGAGCTACAGAAGGAGATATTGTCTTATGTAGGTGAACTAACTTAGGTGTTGAAAACTGTAATAAGTACTGCTTTTTATGTGGTAACTTAAATGTTATGTGAAGTAGAAATTTGTGCATTGCTTTGGATGTATTGCTGCTTACTAACCACTGCTCTTATAATTTTGGGATGCTTCCCTTTATGAACAATGTGACCCTTGTAAACAGGTCAAATGCAGGAGAGATAAATTTTTGTCATGAATTAATTCGACGTGAGTACTTCTAAAGGGATAATTTAGTCTTTTCCTATATTCTCCACTCTTGCTGTAATGTGATGTCTCATCTGTGCGTTGTTACACATTACAGCACATAAATTGTAATATTTCTTGACAGCCATGTGTTTGAATGAATAGTAAAGGCTATAATATTGTTTTTGATGTGTCTTGCAGGACCCAAAGAGACCCACTAAGAGTGCTAGTAAAATAAGTATGATAAAGTGGCTGGAATTGCATGATGTGCAGGCTGACATGTCTCCTTCTCAGAAGGATCTATTCCAACTATGCCTTCAAGTGGAAGTGGAACCAGTTTATTCAATTGTAAACATGATCCATAAGGCTGGTCATACAGTCCTCTTCACTCCTTCCTACCACTTTGAGTACCAGCGAAGAGAACTGGTGTGGGGCATTACAAAGCGTTACTTTGATGCTTACATAGATGAAATACCCAAGAAGTGGCCCAACTTGAAACACTCAGAGGCTGTGATTCTTTTGTGGAAGGAGGCTATCAAGACAGTTACTAAAGATGTGTGGAAGAAATGCGTTCGCCATGTGGAGGATATGATATTGAAGGACCATTCTGAGAAAGTTGGTGGGTTTGGGGAGTGGACAGTACCCAAACCCATGATTATTGATGTAGGGGCAGACTCTGATGATTCTGATGTTGATCCAGATGACCCTGACGCAGTAGGTAATAATGCAAAGATGTAAAAAATGTATGTGTTTGAAAATGATTCGTAATGATTTACTGTAATGTAAGGTATTACTCTTTTCTTTACAAGTTTATTTAAGTTAAAGGTAACCTCCTACATCTCAAGTTAAATTTTCTTTGACAGCCTCTTAGTTCCACTGACAATGTTTTACCCGTCAGTGTTGTACTGAACGATGCAGACGTGCACCATTGGGAAAACAAGTTTCCAGGCCATGGTATTATTAATAGTAATCAAACCTGCTCTGCTGAATCTATTTTGCAAGTAAGTCACCAATTATGAATACTTAAAATGTTATTGTACGTCATCTGGTTAACATTTAATGTGATAGGGGCTGTACCACTCAACTCACCTCCACTTCACAGGCTCTGTTCAACTGTGCGCCATTTGTAGCATGGCTGAGGTCTGACTTGAGACACAGGACAGCATGCCAAAGGGAGCACTGCATGTCCTGTATAGTGTTCCAGTTGCACTGTGAATATATGAAAAGTACAGCGGGCCCATCGTCATCTATACAGTGTCTGTCATGTGTGTAGCAGATCCAGTGGTATAACAGTTTATGATGGTCTTAGACTTTTAAATCTAATTAATGGTTCCATGTTGCAGCATTTTGGCCCCAATACGAGGTACGAGGTAGGGCAGCAGCAAGATAGCCACGAATGTTTGTGTAAATTGTTGGGAAACCTTCAATCTCAATTTCTTGAGAGGTACACAGATGTGAGTAAACTGCAGTGTATGCACTTGAACATCAGCTACATTATTAATCCCATACCAAATTTTTCTTTTGTTATTTCAGTTCTGATGAATTCCTTACTGTCACTTCCCCAGTGAAAGAGATCTTCGGTGGCCAGCTGTGCACCACATATAAATATAATTTATTTTCTGCCTACTGGTATGTAAGTAAACTTACACATTTCAAATCTCAACTGTTTTACTGCATTTCTCCACTTACAGTTTCATGCGGTGTGTGCAAAATGCAGGCAGTACGCACTGAACCCTTCTTCTCCTTGTCCATATCAGTGAAGCCATCACTAATTATCTCATGCAAGGAATATTTTGGTGATGAGTTTGTGCAAGAATATAAATGTATAAATTGCCGTGCTCATGCGAAAGCATAAAAGAACGCAGTTAGACAAAGCACCATGGGTGATTGTTCTCCATTTAAAGAGGTGTTTCACTTATTAGTTTTACTTTTTAATTATTATATGACAATGCCACTGTAATTTCCATTTTCCTTATTCCTATTTAAGGACTTCGTTTTACTTAGGTTCTCAGCCATGGGGGAGGAAGTGAAAATTTCTGTAACGTTCTTGCACACTTTGAATATGTCCGCTTTCATGAGTGGTAAGCAGCAGGTGAAGTACAACCTGAGAGATGTGGGTCAGCCATATAGGTACTACTCCCAATAACGGCCATTACACTGCAGTAGATCAGTGTCCAGACCAACAATTTCGGAAGTTTGATGACACACAGGTGGACGTTTCTTCTGAAGTGCTGCTGAACTGAAGTGTATTTATTTTCCATATATTTTCTCATCAAAATAATTCCCTCTTTTCTTTCAGGTCTTTTCATCAAGTCTCATTAAGGGGGCGTGCACAAATTACGTAAAAGGCTTAGGGGGGGAGGGGGTCGGCCAAAAGGTGACAGCCGATGACAGGGGGAGGGGGGGGGGGTTCAGGCTGAATGACGTAGTTTTTTTACAAATTCCCTTTAATGAGAACTTTTTGTGATAAAATGTATTAAAATATACATTATTACACCAATAATTGTACTTTCCTTACAAGTTTAAATCCTAGCATAGTTTTAATACTGTCTAAACGTTTGGGTGGTCAGAA